TTCATTCCGCCCGTTCGATCGACCTCGTTCGATCACTTTTTCCACTTGGTTGCTGACTTCGTTCGCAGCTACCTGATCTTCATATTTGGACATGTGTTCTGCAGGGACTGTTGGTGGGCTGAAGCCAAGGCAAATGTTCCAAGAATCCAAACCCTTCTGTTTGATGCCAAGACCTGGTCATAACGGGCATAACTCCAAAAATGAGATACCATCCAAACCCAAACCTACTGTCTCAAGAAACACTGGTCTCAAAAACCGAACCGAAAAGCGTCCACGTCCGCTTGTACGCGTTTGGTCGGTCGACGCCGTCGGCCGAGCTCGAGGCCACCATGTCGACACAGTCGGCTCGCTGCGGGATGGTGGGAGCCTTAGACAGTCGGCTCGGCGAGTCGGTCAGTTCTGCTCGAGTCGCGTTTGGCGAATTGTGATATCAGCGACCAAAATGAAGAAGGAACAGAGTGGTCGCTGGACTTGGGAGATTCACCTGCTCTAGCTTTGAGTGTTCAGTTTTTCAATGTGGATGACAACTAGTGCAGGGTTGAACCCTCTGGACACCTTCCGAACCTCTCTTCCAGTGGCCTTTTGCCGCAAAATATACATTCCCCCAGCCATCATGAGTGAAGAGTGATTTGCCAGGAAACCGCCGTCTGAAACAGACTCTGGGAGTTATGTATGCATACTTTCCGGATTCTCTTTAAGCAAGCCGATACTGCACATTCAGAGTTGAGATCCTTTCACTTGCCCCTCAGCCTGCCCGAGCGGGGATTTGGACATCCGATAGATCCAAACTGGCTCCTACTAGATCGAGCCCACGTGCGAATGATGATCCCTGTTAAAAAGCCTTATCGGTATCGGACCCACTTGATCTCCTTGATCACTCGTTCAAGAGAACCTGAGCGGGTTTATCTCAGACTAGGGGGAACCAAAAAAGACACACGATAAATGCAAGGGAATCATTTCACCGGGAATCGTTTCACCTGTAGTAACAAGAAGCTTTTTAGGTCTTTGACGCTTCGTAGTAATAAAGCTTTCTAGTAGCGACCAAAGCTTCCTTGGGAATCGTTTCCCATTCACAGCGCTCCGCTCTTTGAGGCACCGGTCCACTTCAGCTTTGAGCTCTGGCTGAATCTGCATCCTGCCCGCAGAGTCGAAGGATCCAGTGGAGTCCAGTGCTCTATAATTCGTTCAAGAAGTTCTTGTTAGGGCATTCACCACATCTTTCCTCACCAAGCCACAGACCTCCCAATCACGGCATGCTTGCTTCCAACTTTCCACGTCGGCCCACGGAATCAGTGTTTCTTGGCAAAGGACGTACCAAGTGGGAGTGCTGAAGAAGTTTTATCGCTTCGCTTTCGTTTGTTCTTCACCTCATAAGCTTTCACCCATGCCGCCATCAGCTGCCTTGTGCCTTGTCTCATCCAAGAGCAAAAATGACCTTGGATAGAAGAGTCCTTTGCACCCAGCTCTGCCCCATCGGCTCTGCCCCATCGGCTCTGCCCCATCGGCTCTGCCCCCCCGGCCTCCGAATGTCATGTCCCTGCAGCACCAAGCCATCGTTGCTGCCTTCGGTAGGCGCACCGGGCACGTTTTTGACGGTGCACCGGGCACCACCGGCCAAGCCGCGCCCCACCGGGACCCTGCCTCCTGCCGTAGGTGGAGGCTCCGGGCTGATGCGGTCCATACGAGACTGGCAAGGCGATCGGGGCTACAGAAACGGCCAAAACATGATGACTGAATTCTTACAATATCAGTGATTTCAGTGATATCCATTCTTCCGCATCTTGCCATCAAGGTTCAGCTGGCTCTGGAACAATCTGCCCGTATATTTGTCATCTCTTATTCTCATCAGCATTTGTTCATTCATAATCTTCATTAAAAATCTGATGCCTATGGTTAAAATATAAAGGCTTGGAATTTTTTAATTCTTATTTATTAGTTTCCAATATTAGAAAATTCCATAGCATGTACCGCATCAATCTCTTGAAAAAATGAGCTCCGAAGACGGGCTGGTCCTGCAGCTACCGAATCGGACCCCAAAAACATGCGGACAATGTATGAGTTCCCTTCCGAAGGTCCTTGGCATATCTCACAAACTTAGAACCAATCCCCTGAAAGCGTTTCGCATCAACGTGGTATCATCAGTCCACCCATCCAGCCATCCCCCACCCTCCCCGGCCCTCCCCGGCCCTCCCCATCCGCGCCAGGGTCTTTGCCCTCACCACACGGGAAGGCTTCTTGACAGAACTCAGCCCTTGGCATCCAGCCGCTGGTGGTCTAACCAGCTCGATGGATCTACATGGCCCTCACTGGAGTTCGTTTAGACCCCGACCGGTTGTAGCCTAAAAAGAGGGTGTGTTCTCAGAAGAAAGAAACCTTGCACCCCCAAAAGAATGGAGATGTCTCAAGAACTTGCAAGCCTTTGAAGTTGAAGTAAACAATGTTTACACTGGAAAATTGATGAGTTCCCATTCTGGGCAGAACAAACATGTCTACCTGAAAACCTGGAACCACATTCCTCCCTAGGAAAAATAACAGTGAAAGGTCATCCACTGATCCACTGCTTTGCTTGGGCGAGGGATTCCTGCATGTATAAATCATCATTCTGGTTTGGTTGCGCTACATCATTGGAGTCCGGCATCAAGTCAGCAACTTGGGATATAAATGGAAGGCTCTCCTCAATTTCACGCTTGCTAAGGAATTGAAACCACTGATCCATAAAACCAAACAGCGCCTCTGCGCCGCAAGAAGAATTCTGAAACGTTGCTCGCGGGAAGGCCGCGACCGAGCAGAGCAGGACATGGTTAGGGCAAATTGCTAGCGTAGGTCTGTAGAGACATTTTAACCAACCTGCAAAAATGCCTTCTGCGCCTGCACTTTTCTCTTGTTTTCGGGACTTGATGTTTAAAGAGACTTGGAATGTGCTTGGAACCTGTGGAAAGCAGGTTTTGTTTCTTTAACACATTTCATTAGCCAAAAAAACAATTGGACAGACCAGACCGCAACTTTTTGCTCAGATCATTTGGATCGTTCCTTCGTTCACCCGGGCGCCGCGCCGCTGCGCTCGCAGGCGAGGGAGTCTTTCGGGAGGCTGTAGAAGACCATATTGTTGCCCTCAGACCAACGGCATTTTGGAGACGAGCGGTTTCAACCCCGTTCTGAAAAATTATCCTCCTCGCCTTTCATGCAGTGCGCCGCCCGAGCCCATCGTGCGCCTCCTATGTTTGACCCTCAGCTTTCCCTCTTTCCCTTCAAGAGTTTATGATCTGACCTCGGTGGAAGTATACGGGTATACCGATTGAGGTGTCCTTGCACTGGGACCTTTTGACAATCCACAGGAGAAGTAGTCCACTTGCACAAGAGTCAGACTCAAGCCTTCTTTGATTGTTGGGATCATGCAAATGCGGAGGTCCAATACGCCTCCTTGCTCAAAAGAGCGCAGAATCACAAGAATTCTTCAAACTTCCCAGAACTCAGCCATCTTACGGTCCCATCAAGTTCTCAAGTCTCCATCTTAGTCCTTCAGTTGTCTTTTTCAAGTCTAGCTCGGCCCCCTTGCAGGCGTCACGGCAGCCGGCAATGCAGGCGCAGGGGTACTGAAAGCAAGTTCGTCTCTGGCATGGAAGGTTTCGACCGGAATTTACCCTTCTGATGTGCAATGCTTATAAAGAAAAAGAACCTGAAAAATAGCAGAATGTAGACAAATACAGTACATAAGGGTGTTTTTTTCACGGGACTGACTGCCCATCTGAACTCAGAAAGACCATCTGAACTCAGCCGCGGGCGGCGTCTCCGCCGGGCGCTGCCTCCGGGTGGAGGCGGACCTGCAAAAGAAGACGAAGCTTGGGAAGCTTGGTCGCCCTGAAGCCAATTGACGCTGACAGGTACTCACTCACAACTGTTGTTCACTTTCTACATCTGTCTGGAAACGATAGAATGATAAAAAGTCGAAAGTCAAAAGTCTCTCAGGTTTATGGGCAACTTGCTTTCCAGCCCCTACAACCACCTCATCCCTTCGCTCGCCACGATGGCGAGAACGAAGCAAAGGCACGGATGTGTCACTTTTTGGTGGCGCAGGATGTGAGCTTTGCACGGCCGAGTGAAACCAAGGCGAAATTGGTCATCTCCCCATCTGGGGGAATCAAGCTACGTTAACTCAGAGGATGAAGCACAGGGCGACCAGCCAAAGTGTCTCTTCAGCCAACGGCATGAGCTGTGCACCAAAGAGCTGAAGGCTGCGCATCACCTACGAATCCGAAAACATCAAGAAGCATCCAGCAAACTGAAACTCTATATATATATATATATATATCGCCTTAGAGACGTAGCAGCTAGCACTTCTCTTGAGCTTCACCCATCTATTCATGACCCTTGCACCGGGTCGAAACTGATCGTCCGCAAGTCACCAACCGTCGCAGCCTCTACCGGATGAGCGTGCAGGCGATGCACCTCCTTTGCTTAGTTCACGTACAGTGATGCACTAGAAGCTGTAATACGTAAGGAGAGAGAGAGAGAGAGAGAGAGAGAAAGAGAGAGAGAGAGAGAGAAATCTAGGGTCCTATGTCATTTCTGGGAGCGCAAGGTCTCGACACTTCAACACTTCTGCAAAATCCACGCATACAACCGATATTTTTTTGTGGGGGAGGCCATGTAGAGGTGAGGTAGGTTAGCTGGGTAGGTAGCTAGTGGAAGCTAGGTAGCTAGTAGCTAAAAGTAGCTACTACCCAGGACGCCGGATAGCTCACGCTTCTAGACTTTTAGGGAAACTGAATAGCGATGGCCTCCAACAAGACCGTCTTGGCTCGAACACCTTCACCCCAAGAAGAAGTCTGAGCTCTGAGACTTGTCCCACCAACCAGCAGTGAACTGGTAGTGAACAGGGTTCTTGGAAAAAGCACCGTAAACCAGTGAGACCAAATATGATCCAATTACATCCAATTACCAAGATCCACCGAGATCGGCCATAGCAAGAAGTACAGGACAAAATCTGTGCACCGAGGCGCTCAGGGCTCATCATCCTCGTTCTTCACACTAACAGTATAAAACCTGCGGCCGGTGATGCGACCGTCCTTGCAAAATCGAGGCGCTCACCCAAAATTGCGGACAACACACTTCGGAAACCTCCGCTTCGAGTTTCGTCACTCAGCAACGGTAATCACCAAGTGGTTTGCGCCCCTCGAAAGCTTTGTGACCTTTCTCGTGGGGAAGGTGGAGCGTATGTCCTTTTACGATCTGTTGATGCAAATCCCCAAATTCAATCTCTCTATATACTTGTCTGAGACTTGCCGAGCCCTTGGAAGACATTGGCCAAAGGTGAAGTGTCTGCAGCATGAAAAGTACCATCTCACCCCATGTCTCACTTCCTGCTTCTGGGATTTCCCAACCTCCTTGTTTCATGGTTTTGCGCTACTTGTAAAAGTCACTCATTCGCGGCTGTAGTAATTCCATCATCTTTTATGTATGTCGGGGATGTGCTCAAGAACTGAAGAATTGACCTAACCCAATGCTCAATGCTGGGCTAGTAGTTTTGAGGGACACCTGGTTGGTGCCAATCCCTTCATCCAAGGAGCTGCTTGGCAAACTCCAGATCTGGGTCGCTAAAGGAGGTCACGAAGCCAAAAACGAACCTCTGCCATTGGAGCCACCCGTGGGTTCCATGAACAGCTTCGGTGACAGGGAAAATCAAAAACATGGTCACATGGTTGCACTCCCCCTCACAGGACTCAAACATCACCAGGCATGAACTCCCACAATCTATAAACTAAATAGTTGCAACTTGCAACATGTTTTGTTGGGAAAGCACTCAGAACATGCCTGGTCTTCCTACAACTCTTCATGGAAACTGCTGCTGCAGACCAGGTGCTTTTCCAGCGCAGTATCCAGGAACGCACCTCGCTTCCACAGCTCAGATCAATCTGATGAATCAAACGGTATTTGTTTTGCAACGAACAGGGGGGTTTAGAATATCTTTGCCCAAGCCGCACACTCAAGGTAATGCGTACTGAACTGATCGCCCCAAACCCTGAAGAAGCCTAAGTGAAAAAATTGGGCCTGGGAAAACAGGTAGTATGTCGCAAGCCTCAAAAAAATTCCAACGCCTGAAGTTCATCTCAAAGGTGGCGAACTCGTGACTGCAGCAAAGTAACCGCTGCAAAGGCGGGACACATTGTTCTACTGACAATCAGGGACCATGAGGAAATAAGCTTTAGCACTCAAGCAGGTACGTGCAGCTGGTCAAGCTGCATATCCTGAGGTCACCATAGAGAGAGCTTCGTTGGGCACAGCTCTATATGGGCCTCCTGTGCCTCTCCTTCTTTAAATTCACGAAGCCGAGAACCAACTCAAAAGAATCCCTGTGACTCCAAGGGCTTCACACACACCCACACACACACACTTATGGATATGCATACGGAACTGATAGCGGTGCCACACGCCAGCCTAAGAAACCCAA